CTCGTTCAAAACCCATTAGTCGCTTCAAGTTCTCAGGTACAAATTGAGTTGTCGCATGAGACTAAAAAATTCAAAATCGAACGGGTAACAACACAATTTTCAAAATTAACCTCTGCTACCTATCTAATGATTAAAGAAAAATAACAGTTACGGGTTAAACTCAAAGGAAAACTTACTGAAACACCCAAGAATTAACGAAGCATTTTGTATCGCAAAAGCTCTAGATACCCTAGTGAAATGCTAGATCCTAGTAAAAACTAGATTTTTCAGAGAGAGCAAAAGGTTATGACCAAAAGTCTTATGTTGTAACATCGGGGTTCCACAAAAAAAAAACTTTTTCAAAGAGCATTTGCAGGAATGTTTAATCGAACTCCAGTGAAGAAAAACAAGCGTTCTGATTCAGATTATATCGAAAAAACAGCTTTAACACAATCAGACTGGAAATGCTTTTTATGTACAGTTTTTTGAAAACCCGACTTTTTTTCTTAATCTGTAAGTCAATCTCCATTATTAAGGACATGCTTACATTCAAACCAAGATTGTATGGATAATTTTCGCTAGTATGAATCAAGTTTCACTAGAGTTTCATCATGTGAGAAATGGTTGCAAAGTCCTGATATTAAATTCAGAATGCAGAGGTTAAAGAGGCCCTTTGCATTGCAAGCCCTTTGACAGTGGTATAGATAAAAATTTAGATAGTTTTTACAAAATTTCTAATATTGCTACGCGTTAACCGAAAATAGGGAATTTTGCGTGCAATATTCCAACTTTCAACTTTCAGATTATCCCAATTTCGCGAAAAAAAATCAAACGTGAAATCAGGGGCGGATTTAGGGGGCACCTTCCCCCTCAGGAATTTGGCCCCCTGACTACTCAAAGAGTAACCCCTTTGGCTGACCTTAAAATTTTTCTAATTTTTCCAAAATCAGATAACCCCAATAATCATCGGACCGGGTTCATCATATTAAAACCCTTTCAGTCGTAATTTGAAAACACCTTAAGAAATTCCAGAAAATTGTTTCCAGTGTCGAGAAAAACCGGTTAGAAATTTTTGGTTTTTCGTCTAATTTCGAGAGATTGAGCAGGCTTACATTAGCTTATTTTAGCTTAATTTAAGCCTTAAAAATTTAGTTTTATTGAAGTAAAATTAGTTTTTGGAGTTTTTAGCGCCCTATTAGGCATCAAAAAGATCAAATATTTCAGAAACAATATTTGAAGAAAAAAAAATTACCAGTTTTTTTTCGTTTATCTAGTAATTATTCTACAAAAACTATTTTTTCAATTTGCTTGTTTCACTGTGATTTTCAAATATGCCCAAGTTCTAGTTTTTCCTTCAGATCCTTTTATCACACCACGCAGAAAAAACGACACTAATTTGAAAAAAAACTTCGTATGACTATGGTCGGAACATTCTGGGCTACTTGTACAGTGATGGCTATCCTTGTTTATAATTACATCTTGTTAAATCAGGGCAGCAACATGCTTACGGTAGTGTAAAGAAATCCTTCTGAGCAACGCATAATTCCTTTTGCTAAAAAAGCAAGGGCTTACTTAAATTTATCATTCTTTCAAATTAAACTGCAAACTTGACCCAACATACCTACTTGTAAATGAGAAGCGGCTTTAGTCTCTAGTTATAAATCGAAAGCGTATCAATTTGACACCCTTTCAGTCGTGCTTCAGATTCTAAAAATATATTTCGACTCAGAAACGAAGTTGCAACATCGAAAAAACAAGCAAAAAACGTTCAATTAGTGAAAACAGAAAAGTTAAAACTAAAATAAAAAAGTTGCTATTGAGCACTTCTATTTGGGACTTGGGTAGGAATCAAAGTGGATATCATAACATCACACTTCGCCCCTCTGAAATTTATTGACACGTTTCGCCCCTCATACATTTCGCCCATACTTTTCATCTTTTCTTTTATTCTTTTTCCAACTTTCCTTTCAAGCTAGAAAAATGGGAAAAAAATTCAGTTAGTTTTATTCTGCTTTGACTATTAAGCGCTTCAATTCAGATAACAATAATTAATCATAATCAATTTGCCAAATCTCGTTCAAAACCCATTAGTCGCTTCAAGTTCTCAGGTACAAATTGAGTTGTCGCATGAGACTAAAAAATTCAAAATCGAACGGGTAACAACACAATTTTCAAAATTAACCTCTGCTACCTATCTAATGATTAAAGAAAAATAACAGTTACGGGTTAAACTCAAAGGAAAACTTACTGAAACACCCAAGAATTAACGAAGCATTTTGTATCGCAAAAGCTCTAGATACCCTAGTGAAATGCTAGATCCTAGTGAAAACTAGATTTTTCAGAGAGAGCAAAAGGTTATGACCAAAAGTCTTATGTTGTAACATCGGGGTTCCACAAAAAAAACTTTTCAAAGAGCATTTGCAGGAATGTTTAATCGAACTCCGGTGAAGAAAAACAAGCGTTCAGATTCAGATTATGTCGAAAAAACAGCTTTAACACAATCAGACTGGAAATGCTTTTTATGCACAGTTTTTTGGAAACCCGACTTTTTTTCTTAATCTGTAAGTCAATCTCCATTAATAAAGGACATGCTTACATTCAAACCAAGATTGTATGGATAATTTTCGCTAGTATGAATCAAGTTTCACTAGAGTTTCATCATGTGAGAAATGGTTGCAAAGTCCTGATATTAAATTCAGAATGCAGAGGTTAAAGAGGCCCTTTGCATTGCAAGCCCTTTGACAGTGGTATAGATAAAAATTTAGATAGTTTTTACAAATCTTCTAATATTGCTACGCGTTAACCGAAAATAGGGAATTTTGCGTGCAATATTCCAATTTTCAACTTTCAGATTATCCCAATTTCGCGAAAAAAAACCAAACGTGAAATCAGGGGCGGATTTAGGGGGCACCTTCCCCCTCAGGAATTTGGCCCCCTGACTACTCAAAGAGTAACCCCTTTGGCTGACCTTAAAATTTTTCTAATTTTTCCAAAATCAGATAACCCCAATAATCATCGGACCGGGTTCATCATATTAAAACCCTTTCAGTCGTAATTTGAAAACACCTTAAAAAATTCCCGAAAATTGTTTCCAGTGTCGAGAAAAACCGGTTAGAAATTTTCGGTTTTTCGTCTAATTTCGAGAGATTGAGCAGGCTTACATTAGCTTATTTTAGCTTAATTTAAGCCTTAAAAATTTAGTTTTATTGAAGTAAAATTAGTTTTTGGAGTTTTTAGCGCCCTATTAGGCATCAAAAAGATCAAATATTTCAGAAACAATATTTGAAGAAAAAAAAATTACCAGTTTGTTTTCGCTTATCTAGTAATTATTCTACAAAAACTATTTTTTCAATTTGCTTGTTTCACTGTGATTTTCAAATATGCCCAAGTTCTAGTTTTTCCTTCAGATCCTTTTATCACACCACGCAGAAAAAACGACACTAATTTGAAAAAAACTTCGTATGACTATGGTCGGAACATTCTGGGCTACTTGTACAGTGATGGCTATCCTTGTTTATAATTACATCTTGTTAAATCAGGGCAGCAACATGCTTACGGTAGTGTAAAGAAATCCTTCTGAGCAACGCATAATTTCTTTTGCTAAAAATGCAAGGGCTTACTTAAATTTATCATTCTTTCAAATTAAACTGCAAACTTGACCCAACATACCTACTTGTAAATGAGAAGCGGTTTTAGTCTCTAGTTATAAATCGAAAGCGTATCAATTTGACACCCTTTCAGTCGTGCTTCAGATTCTAAAAATATATTTCGACTCAGAAACGAAGTTGCAACATCGAAAAAACAAGCAAAAAACGTTCAATTAGTGAAAACAGAAAAGTTAAAACTAAAATAAAAAAGTTGCTATTGAGCACTTCTATTTGGGACTTGGGTAGGAATCAAAGTGGATATCATAACATCACACTTCGCCCCTCTGAAATTTATTGACACGTTTCGCCCCTCATACATTTCGCCCATACTTTTCATCTTTTCTTTTATTCTTTTTCCAACTTTCCTTTCAAGCTAGAAAAATGGGAAAAAAATTCAGTTAGTTTTATTCTGCTTTGACTATTAAGCGCTTCAATTCAGATAACAATAATTAATCATAATCAATTTGCCAAATCTCGTTCAAAACCCATTAGTCGCTTCAAGTTCTCAGGTACAAATTGAGTTGTCGCATGAGACTAAAAAATTCAAAATCGAACGGGTAACAACACAATTTTCAAAATTAACCTCTGCTACCTATCTAATGATTAAAGAAAAATAACAGTTACGGGTTAAACTCAAAGGAAAACTTACTGAAACACCCAAGAATTAACGAAGCATTTTGTATCGCAAAAGCTCTAGATACCCTAGTGAAATGCTAGATCCTAGTGAAAACTAGATTTTTCAGAGAGAGCAAAAGGTTATGACCAAAAGTCTTATGTTGTAACATCGGGGTTCCACAAAAAAAACTTTTCAAAGAGCATTTGCAGGGATGTTTAATCGAACTCCGGTGAAGAAAAACAAGCGTTCAGATTCAGATTATGTCGAAAAAACAGCTTTAACACAATCAGACTGGAAATGCTTTTTATGCACAGTTTTTTGGAAACCCGACTTTTTGGTACCGAGAAGAATTAGCAAAAACAGAAAATCAGAGCAAGTTTTTACTGTCTCATCCAATTCAGGCAGTTGAAAAACTACTTACGCGATTTAATTTAGGATGCTCTGATTAAAAAGCTGTGTACAGCCAAAAAAAACCTAAAAAATCTTAGAATTACTGCTGTTTGACTAATGATATGTGTTTCAATTTATATGACTATATGTTTTTGTTACGAAAGTTAAATCATACGACTAGAAATTATACAATTTTTTTTAATACGCCAACATACTGGCATCAATACTTGGCGTTTATCATCCTGGATTTCTCACAAGCGCTTGCTGGGTTGTACCTAAGAAAAATGCAGCTGAAACCTCAACGGCATCTCAAGACATGCTATCTTTTTACCGCAATTTTGGCAAAAATATGTTGATAACCTAATTTATTTAACCGCAGTGGTTATAATTTGAACTGTACAAACAAATTCTGAAATTCCGACAATTGATCAAAATCTTTATAATGATCAGCAAGAGTTACATAGTTCAGCGCATTCGGCGCAATATATGTTCTCAAAACACATATTGAAATAAATAGTTTTAGAGCGTTTTTGACATACTCAAAGCAAGCTGCTTCTTCAAATTTGACAAGATTTTCATTCAGTCTTTCTTTCAGGTGCGCGTGACATTGCTTCAAAAACAAATCATAGGCTAAATCTTGATGCAGGAGAGAGTTCAACTTCATCGAGACTAGCCAATAACACTCCATAATTGGTCCAAGGATGGTTGCGAACATTTGAAGTTTCGCTTTTGAATCCTCATCTTCAAAGTTGATATAAATTCTATCCTCTTTTTGAATCTGAAGAGTCTTCGAGACACTAGTTGACTTAGTAGTTTGTTTTGAACTCACTACAATTTCTCCAATAAAATCGTCCTCAGATGAGTAGAGAAAGTCGCTTTCACCATCGCTACTATCGACATTAAACTCGTACTCGGCCGCAATTCGTTCTTGCATTTCGCGTTCGTTTTTCGACAACAGACTGTCGACTTCTTTCTCCTTGTGAACCAAGTTACAAGACTCAAAATGACAAAAGAGGTCTTCAAAGAAATCATTACAGTCTTGGCAAGGCGGGATGATCAAAAACTCGGCTGTATCTAAAAGCATTACCAGGTCAGCACATTTTTCGAGAACGTTAGATCGAGACACAAAAACATTGACGTTATTTGAGAGCACCGTTTCGTATGTTACACCTGCTTCTGAAAACAAAGCGGTCGACAATATAGCTTCGCCTGCTAAACGACAAGACAGATGATTGCTCAAGTAACTCAGTTCAAAACAAGAGACAATATCTGAATTGCACAATTTTGGTTTTATTGCAATCGTTTCCCAGAATTCCCGGTTGGTACTCTTTAATGAACCAACTTCCGGTGGAACTCTGATAAGATTCGGAAATAAGTAATTGAAGTAAAGTAGAACTTGTTCTGCAGTTCCTGTGAAGCCAAGAGATACCGACCGGTACAAGACACCGCGTTGAATGTCCAACATCAAAGACGCTATTGACTGGACCAATAATGCAACTGAAGTTCCTTTTCGATGCCTATTCAACAAAACGAAAGCAACTAAATGAGTGCTCATTATTGAACAAGATTTCTGTGCTAAAAACAGCGAATGCACAGCTAGTTTTGCAACAACAGCTTTAGGAGTAGGTCTCATGTTTCCCTGATTGCGCAAGTAATGACTCGAATCAACCGACTTGAAATCGGGAATCGACAGCTGTGAAGACAAACTCGTATTTGTTTCACTTAGGACTACGTCTCCTGTTTCGTTAGCACATTCTTTCGAGTTCTCGAGATATACTGACTCACTTTTCATTTTTGGTTCCCGAGACAGCAACGAAGCTACCATTTGACGAGTTGAGAAAGGTTGTCCAAAAGTGACTCTCACAGTTCCATAACGGACATTTAACTGTTTAAACACTCCTTTGATTGTGCCCCAAAAAGACTCGGACTGTTTAGGGAGTCCCTGCCACTCTCTATGGAACCCCGTGATATCCATCACTTTATCGTAAGATATTGCCACTGGTACTATCAAAACGTCGTCCAGAACATTACTGTCTAAACTTTCCATGATAGTTGAAATGATCCCGAATTTCGGGTCCGCAATCGGCTTTCCCAGACGACTCCGACCACCTTCGATGAACACTTCCAGGGGCCATCCCAGTTTTAACATTTCTTCAATGTATGCTTTCAGTACTGTCACGTAGCAGTTATACTTCGCGATGCTTTCTCTTCTTACACGCGCATCTGAATCTTCGACAGGTTGTTCACGCTCGGCTTGACTCGGATTCCGATTTCGTCTTCGGCTCAATAGTCTCCGAATGAAACTCTTTCTGGCGCTCTGCGCTTTCAAAGGCACTGAAACTGAAGAACTACGGTGAATGAATATGGCTCCCATGCGCGCCAGAAGTCCCCCAAGTCCAGGAAGCTTCAGATTGTTTCCTGCTATGATATGAGGCCATTTCAAACCATACTGCCACAGCACCATCGATATAAGTAAGTAATCCACATGACTTTTGTGTAGAGGTATATAAATTATAGGCACTTTTCGGTTGGCATTCAAATTTTCTATCTCTTTCAGCCGTTCAACGTGAGCTTGTGTGACAATAATTTTCTAGTAAACTTTATTCAGGAACTTCATTAAAAGCCAGCCAAACAGAAACACTACAGGTCCCGTCATCGAGGCTGCAAACTGTTTATACTCTTGCATTACCCGGGCGGTCCAGTACTTAACTGTTTTCTGTCGCTCGTTTAAATGCTCCGTTTTCTCCAATTTCAAAGCAGATGCTAGACATTCATCAGAGGCTTTGGCTTGCAACGGATTTCCACCTCCAGGCATTGCATGTAACTTAGCAGACATAAATGCATTTACATGACGATTAGTAAATACTCGAGGTGTAATTGAATGGTAAAAGAATCTTTTGGCAGTGGTTGAAAAAATAAGGTACCTCAAAAATGGAGGCATGAACCTTCCCGAACCCTGATATGTCCAGACTCTGAAATCATAGGGAAGCTGAAGCACATTGCAGTAACCTAGACTCCCAACTTTTTCACTGCATGTTTCCTCGAAACTCTTAGCTGTGCATACTTTACAGCACTGCGTGCTATCAATTTCGTAATACGAACCACAGGAGTCAAGATTCCGTTTGCCGTTTTTCCAGGGACATAATTTGTCCACGAGCCGATGTTGGTCGCTGCTTCCAAATATGGATATGTCCTGGCTATCTTGACGTTTATTCATTGCCGAGTTCGACATTCGCATTGCAAGCGAGTGTCGGTTTTGTAAATTAATCGGCTTCTCCCCCTCAATGAGTTTGGAAACTGAGTTCGGAATTTTGGGGGTTGACTTTCCAAAACTAACGCCGCCACGGGAGAAACTTGTAGTTTTGGCGCCACGGAAAGAGGCGTGGCCATTTTGCCGATTTCGCGGCGTGGAATGTGACCCATTCATCTCTAAACTAACCGCATATCTGATTCGTGGACAGCTACTTAATAAGGTTTGCAATAACTACATACTACCTATAAATAATCCTATTTAATTTTCTGGTCTGTTTTTATACTTAAAAACGCAATACCGAGATACTTCACAAAACAAACTAAATAAGGTTAACTTGAAATACTATACTGACGATGAGTCTTTAGTATATTATGAACGGTGCGATGGGCGAAAACAACTTTCTAGAGAAAAATGGCAGAGCAAAAATTGCACAATTATCTAGACAAAGATTTGATTGTCCTTAAGCCTACTACTTTGAAGCCCACCGTCACGAAACGGGAAAGAAAAGTTTTCTCTTCAAGTTTAAACACTTGGCCTCCATGTATCCGTCGATCATTGAAAGAAAATTTCTTAAGGTTTCAAAATCGCTAAAAACAGTCTTACTCATCTTTCTCGTAGCTCACGAGCGACATTATCTTAGTATAACAAAGTTTTAACACCGCTGTATAGGAACACCACCGCTGCCTCGTAAACCTTTTAAAAAAATTGAACCCCAAAACTCGAAAGGAGGTTGAATACAATTAAATATAGCCGCGGTTGCTTTGCAAGTAGAACAAAATGTACTGAACAAATTGATTTAGGAAAATCAAAAAATTCAGAAAATACAATTTTTGCATTTTCTGTTGTCTAAATACCCTGTTGTTTTCTGAAGAAAGGGCGATTGAATTAGACTAAAAAGCAAAAAGAGCGGTAAGTAAAGTTAGAAAACTGCAGAAAAAAACACTAAGAGAATTTCATTGAAATAAATTTAAAAATCCGAATCACGACCAATAGGGCTTTAATATGATTCCACTCTTAGCCGAATAACAACTATACTTGAGGTAGTCGAAATTGGCTGAAAAAAACTAAAAAGGAACCAAGGCTGCTGTTCCTTCCTACTCTTAGCGCAGCAACTTTTTGATCACAGTACATCCACAGACATGCTTCGTTACATCTGGGCTGTCAGAAAAAGGGCTGATAAAAGTTTCGTAGAAAACTATCTACCGACAAAAAACAACAATAACAAGGAGAGCCGGTTAGTGTTCAAGTACCACAGAAAATTCCGACCATGTCTTAAAAAATACGAAACAAGTTTTTTTTTTCAAATTAGTTTCTCTTTTTTTTCTGCGTGGTGAGATAAAAAGAACTGAACAAAAAATAAAAACGTAGGCATATTCGTCAGTCATAGTAAAACAGGCAAAATAGAAGACAGTTTTTGCAGAAAAATACTAGAAAAACGAAGAAAAAACTTGTTTATAAAGTTCTTCAATTTTTTTAGGATATTTTTCGAATTTTTTAAGTTTTTGATTCCTAGGATGGCGCTAAAAACTCCAAAAACTAACTCTACTTGAGTAAATCAAAAATTTGAAACCGGTTTTTCTCGACACTTGAAAATATTTTCGATGTCGTTCGAATCACGAATCAAAGGGATTTAATATGATAATCGACCGAGTCCACTAATTATTTGTGATAACTGATTTTGCGTGGAAAACAAGAAGAAAAAAAACTGAAACACGCGAATACAACGTTCCCATTTTCAATGGTCTGAACAAAAATCATTCTTTACGGTTGGAATTCTAAATTTTCAATAAAACTGTTGATTTTTCACAACTGTTTGAGAGCTATCTTGTCAAACTCGAGCAAACATAGCCAAAAGACAGTTCGATGAACTAAAGTCCAAAAGACAGTTCGATGAAAAAAATCCATGAACCAAAGGAAACATTCAAAGAAGTCGATATTTGTTTTCCAGGTAACTGTTGATTAAGATTGCTTGATTTCAACTGAAAAGGTCTCCAACAAGCTCATACTTTTGAAGACACCAGCAAAGTGGAGAAAAATCTGTTGAACCAATTAAGGTCACCAAAAATATATTACCAGGGAGCAAATCATTTAGACGAACAAACCTATTACAATTGATTATCTTCGTATTTTCATACTTGCCAAATATATCCCGACAACATACAACACGTCCAGGCATTTAGCAAAAAATATTCTGAGAAGAGCTTCGCTGAAAATATGTCGCCGAACGAAACCAATTGAGAACAAGGATAGCCCGTTAATGTGCAAGTAGCACAGAATGCTCCGAGAATAGTCTTAAGAAAAACCAAAAAAAATTCAAATGAGTGTTTTTTTTCTGTGCGGCGTAATAAAAAGATCTGAACAAAAAACTACAACTTAGGCATATTGGACAGCCATAGTAAAAAGAGCTAGTTGGACAAGTTTTTGTAGAAAAAATTTACTGGGAAATCAAAAAAAATCCTAGGCAAATCAGACATCCGTTTTAAAAAAAAAATTATGAGAAAAAAATGATTAAAAAACACTGCCTAGTTTTTTTGAAAAAAATTTCAACTTTCGAAGTTCAAAAAAAATATGACGTTAAAATTCTTTGAATTTCGGAACATTTTATGATACACTTTTTCGATAAAATTAACCCCCTTAGAAATCTGATACTTAAATTCCATTTTCGAAGTTGGAAGACGATCACGTTTTTGTGACTTTTACACTGTCGCTGTTCGATAGTGGCATTGCCTTCCATTTAACATTACATTTAACAAATGAACTGAACTTAAGAAATCAAAAGTCAGACGGCGAAAAAATAAACTTACGCCTGGACAAATTTCAAGACTCCCGAAAGAAAAAATCATCAGTTTATATTAGAGTTGATGAACGTAGCTCAGACTCTTATATAGGTCGCATACAAGTCTTAGTACGTTTTACTAAATAAATTAAAACACATCCGAAAACAAATTTCCTCCCCATTTTTAATGGTCGGAACAAAAATCATTCTCCGCCAGAAATCTTATTTTTTAAACTTAAAAACTTTCTATCCCACGCACGATCCTGTTGACACTTACTGTTAAAACCGCAGAAAAAGTCACGCAACCTAACTAACACAACCGAAGACAAAGCTCCTCCACACTTTCAGTCAAGTATCCTAAAAGCGTTTAAAAACTGTGGTCATAAACTAACATTTGAATTCAAATTTTTTAAATCTGACCCTTCGTATCATAAAATAGAATAGTTTTGATCTAATCATGAAATGAAATTTACAAAAAAACCTATCCGGTCATCCAGAGTAAAATAAAATCAACTACTTGGTTTCTGATTAACAAATTTGAAATTAACAAACGTTCAACGTTTTACATTCATATCTTTGGATATATTATAATCAACAATGAACCAAACTGAAAACATATAACGCAACTTAACCAAAAACAAGTTCAACAAACAACTTCCAAAACAGTAACTAAGACAGCTCCGTTTTTGATCACATTATCGATTCTTGAGTCACTTCCGACTTTGAGTCCGAACTTTTCATTTTTGAACTCCGCGATTCCATGTTCAAAGCAAATCAACTACTTAGTTTCAAGAGTAGATTCTGCCTTCAACTCTGGCCACCTTCACATAAATAGGATCTCTGATCTTTCTTGCTTCAGATACCCTTGGTTGATCAACTTCAATCTTTTCAGCTTTCGCAATATTGAGCAGAGAGTAGAATGCCCGACAAGCTTCCCGCTTCTTACACGATGTCACTGGACACAATTGACTGAACAAGATCGTACCAGAGCGACCGAAGACTCTTTCATTTTCATCTTTCGAAGCCTCGACTAATTTTCCAACCCTTTCAAATATAACCTCATCATTTTTATTCATCGACAAGCTACTATCGAAGTCCAATGAACTATCAAGGCCAGTCCTAACTGAATTTCTGGCACCAGAAACCGGTGGCGCCAGAGAATTTTCTTGAGGAAAAACAGGATTCGATACAAGCGACGTTTCTCTTCCTTCTTGAATTGTTCTTAGAGTTTCATTTTCAACCACCATAGTCCTTGTAAGCTCTGAATTTTCAAACGACAGCAAGTGTTGATCGGCTAATTCAGCACTCGACTTAGATAGTTCGGCTACTTGACGACCTGATGTAGCTAGTGGTTCAGTTGTGTTCTTTGTGTTGTTGTCCGAAGGAGCTTCTCGAATGACTTCAGCACTCGGCAAACCTAGCGAAGGCAATTCAGCTAACGGCAGTTCAGGCTGCGAAAAATCTCCGCGACTCCCGAAAGCTTCACCCCAAACTCTTTTCAGCTCGCTTCCCAACGTAGAAGCCCTTCCTGCCGAAGTCACAAGTTCATCCGCTTTCAAATCAAAGCTCAAAGGAGCCGGAACGAACGGTCGCACAATATCGCTCGAGTCCGTAAGACATCTTTTCATAGCTCTGTCACTGATTCGAATCGGACCAAAGTCGATATGCTTTGGTCTACGCTTAGATCTTCTGTCCAAGGTGTCTTGCAACATAAACGGGTGAGGCTGAATTGATCTGCTTTCGCTCACTCGACCTAAAATTGAGTCTCGCTTCCAGGTGCGATGAGGGATCTCGCTTTGGTCCATCTCAACTAGAGGTGTCACTCTTTTCGGAAACTTAGATTTTTCTATTCCCTCTGTTTCGCTCGTTCTTGCAGCAGCTTCACTTAGCATCTCCCGATTTAGAGGTTGGGACGAACTGGTTCTAGTCAGTGGCGTTTCCACCCGAGGCAACGAAACGGAGAGTCCAGCATTGTACAGGTTGATATTTTCACCCAGCACTGACGGGCCATGGAGCGTGCCGCTGAGTCCCATTGAAACGTCACAATAGTTTGTAACATCTAAGTTCAATCCTATAAACAAAACAATCACTACAATTCAAAAACATGAAAATTCATTTCTAGAACTTCACTGGTTGTACTGAAAACTATCCTCGCTAACATTATGATTCCCGAGACCATTTATAAAAACCACTTTGCAGTTGTAGGATTTCAGATACAATTTTAATGACACGCATTAACTGGAGAAATGAAACAAATGGCAATAACCCAATTGATTGATATTTTCCCTGTTCTCCTCACTTGCATGTGCTTTTTTATCTTTTAAACTGCTTCCTTTGTGGATGAGTGGCATTCCCTCACACTCTGAGATCCTCGCGCATTTCGCCCCTGATGGAGACCACTTCTGAATCCTCTGAATCTCTTTTGAAACAGCATTTGATCTCTCTTCCTGTTGCTGCTGCAGTTCCAACCCCACTTGAGTCTGCAGATTCTGCAAGTCCATAATTCCTAAGAGGTCACCCACCCCTGGATCTACGTGGGGGAGGGGAGGAAAAACATTGGAGCTGAGGTACTCGGCAATAACGTCAGTAGAGCTGTTCATGAGTACCCATTGTTGTCGCTTCTCCTCCTCGGTCAGTGCCTGGTCATCCGGATCCAAACCTTCAATCTCTCTCGGAAACCGATACATACTCGACGCCGCCCTGAATCATTTACCGCCAAAATTATTTTATTGTCAAATATCATTTTATTACAATATACACCAAATTATTCTAAGCAGAGAACGCGTTAGTGGATCATGAAATCTTGGCTGTTGCCAAAATAAAACGGTAAAATGAGACCACAAACTTGGAAAATTGTTTGCCAGATTTTCTATAAAAAAAAGGTAACCTATCCGTTACAAGCCCTTCTCGTTAACGGCAAACACTATTTCTCAATAAAAATGACAAAAAAGCATTAATTTATTCTGTAATTAAATACTCTGCTGTATACAAATAACTCTGAGCGAACGTTCTCCGAGAGAACGTAAAAATGTTCTCCGAGCAAACAGACAATAAAAAGGAACTAGACTATCACTCACAATCTTGAGTCGCGTCCTTCCTCTCGTAGAGTAATGTCCCTGATATCATCGACCAAGTGAGAGGCATTTAGATTCAGAAAAGGATTCTCCACATTTTGGCTTTTTTCAAGCAGCCTCGCCTGCTCAGTGGGCGATATCATCTCCAGCTCCCAGTTCTCCGGTAGTGGCGGGTTGTCCAGAATGAAATCATTCGAAAACGCCAGGTCCTTCCTTTTCGGCTCCTTCAAACTAAGTTTCATAGGTTTCAGATTAGCCAGGAACCTCTGAGAGTCTTGGTAGAGATACTCCATCTGTTTATGGAACACAAGAACAATTCCGAACATCAGATGTGAACAAGTTCGTATCGAGAGCGGAACTCCGTGAAGCGAGTAGCTCTCGAGCAGGGACACAGTCGTCATGGCGAATGGAAAATGCTTCAGCAACTCCTCGCATTTCTTGGCTACCTCTATCGACTCATAATCTCTCCGATTCTTCAGTTTTCCCTGGTGCGCCACAAACCATAGCTTCCCGAAAGTTCCGGTCCTATAAGCCAGGAGATCTTGCACGTAATACATTTGGACTCAGTTCAACGGAGTTTCTTTAATACACAAATTCACACATACAATACGGCGGCTTTGCCTAAACCTGAAAAAGATTAAATTATGGTGTTGTCGGAGTAGTCTGAAATAAATTACTTACGACGAGCTCAAATCAATTTTCGTCCAGGGCTTAGGAAAAAAAACACAGAGAAGCGAGGTACCGCTTCCTTCTACAAAACAGTTGGTTCATAACATTTTTTTCTGATTTATTCTTCACTTGATGCTTATTTACTCAAACTGGTCAGTGATATGAATGAATCGGACAAAAATAGAATTACATGTGATCAGATAAAATCACTTTTGGCTCTTTTTCCTCCCCCTCCCCAATCTCACTTATGCATCAATTTTATGATGTACCGAGGGGTTTTACAAGGTAAAGTATCAGGACCAAATATGTTTGTCTTGGCCTAATTAGTCTGCATGCCAGTTTCTGTAACACTCTGACAATGTGAACAGTAAGTTCACTAGTAAAGTTTCACAGGTGGGGAAAAAGGCAAAAGAGCCTCACTTTTTTACGCAGCGGGAAAGTAGAGCTTCGTAACACTTGCAACGCAAAAGTGTACTCCTATCGCTTGTCTACTTCGGCAAAAATAAGCAGACAGGCGATATTCCAAATAAATTTTTCTATGATTATTATTATTATTGAGGATTTACAATCAGATTATATAAGAATATACAAAATGATTGAGGGGAACAGAAGTTCCCTAAAAGACAAGAAAAGACGTTACAAACTAGTTTCACGGCAAAGATAGCACATACAACCAATTGCCCACGAGCAAGGATTTTCAGAAGAATAATAGTTTGAGAAGAAATTCCAAAAACAAGTCAGAAGTTTCTTTTTCAAGTTGTGGTAAGAAAATACGTCGATTCCAAAACGCGCATATAAGATGTTGGCGAGTCTCTGCGATCTATACCAGAAGTTTCGGAATGTCGAATAACGTTCTGCTCGACCCTCTCGAACTGTAGATTGAAGGCGAGAATAATTTGATCGAGTCACTCCACTGCACAGCATGATGATCATTGATGACTTTAAATAACAACAGTAGATCGTTTATTTGCAGTAAAAGGAAAGTGGGAGAAGCTTTCGGAATATGATAAACTACTATGAAAGCCAACAATCCATCTGGTTGCATCACGTTGTACACCTTCAATGAGCTTTGTTGCTTTTGCTCGCAAACCACGCGACGCTTCCGTATGTAAGAACTGGAACAACCATAAATCTATGCAGAAAATTTTCATTAAGGTACAGATTCTAGCCGGATACGAATCCGGGACTTTTATCTAGAGCATGGACGTTACTTCGGCGCAAAAGAAAACAGAATCAGATGCCTAATTTCAGTTGAATATATCAATCGGTCTATCAAATCATTCAGCTATTTTGTTAGACAAGTTGTTAATAGGATTTTTTTTTCACATTTGAGTTTTATGTATAAAAATTTGGCTCCACAGAAGCCTTTAAAAACCAATTGTTATGGATTAATAAACGATTATGGTTTTAACAAAGTCATATCAATAAAATCAATCTATAATCAATCTAAAATCATTTATGGATTGTAATTTTTCTAAATTTAGCCCAAAACTTTCAAAATTTTGTACAATCAAAAACTGACTGTTGCACTCTTTAAACACACGTTCACACAGAGGCGAAGCTGCGCTTCGCAAACATTTACGAGAACACGACTTAATGCGGCTCTATCAAGTTAAATAAAAAAAGGTAAAAATAAACCTCGAATTAGCAAAAACTCGGCAACGTGTCATATTCAAATCTGCGACCTAGCAAATTTGAGTCTCACGCACTAACCAATCAGCCACGGATGCTTAAAATCCACAAAAACTAACCACCAATAACACATGCTAATAAAATCCCAATTCGATGCGGCAAAAGTAGCGCCAAATAAAGAGCATGTAATTTTGCATGTAATCAACCGCAAAGCATAAAGCCACTTTATTTTAAATTATGCATTTCAAAAAAATTGCGAGATATAAAGTTAGAAAAAATCTGAAATCAAGTTTTTAATATTTCTATGTTGTTTTAAAAAAACTTCAATTCATTTGCTGAATTAAAAATGCTTCAACTATGTTAACTTATTATTATTCGAATGACAAAGCACAAGCTATCAAAAAGCTGTAAAGGTTCCCAAAAAGTGACACCAATATTTGTGACTTAGGTTGGAAAAAAAAGAAAGTTCGTAATAATACATTTTGCTTCGCAAATCTAATAATTGAAATTGAGGTTTAAAGTTTGTTTGGATAAAAAGTGTTATCTTGTTTCTTTATTTTTCTCTTCACAACGTTTTTCTTCATTTTTTAGTTTTTTTTGCTCAACTTTATTTACCTTACTCTCTGCATTTATGTCCACGCATGTTTAAAATGAGATAGAATCGAAAAAATGGATAATAATAAAATTAAAATCAATTATGATGTCTACGAGCTACATGATAATCAATTATGGAAGAAATTTATCTTCAATACGAAAATTGATTATAAAAAAAATTTATCTCAAATAAACTCCAATGTGTGAAAGATCCGATGAAAGAAAAACTCACAATATAAGATTCATTATTTTCTTTCTTGATAAAAATAGGAAAATCAATAAACAATTTTAAAAAGATAAATGCCTTAGTAGTAGTAGTAGTAGTAGTAAAAGATTTAGAGACAGTTCTCAAGGGTTCGCACCCAGATTCAAGTTCATAGTTCAGTTTTATCTTGTTTGAAATGTTACAGTTCCCACATCTGCATATTATTCTCCATGTGCATTTGTTTTCCTAGGAGTAGTGTCTAACAAAGAAGTGCCAGTAGATTTTCTGCAAGGTATCTTTGTTAAGTTCGTTGCCGAAATTGGGGTACGTTCGGGATACGTAGTTGAAGAGAAATCTCGTTCGTCGGAAAAGTTGTCATCGCTTTTCAATCTTGATTTGTACAGCCTGTTTTCTCTTCTTTGATTTTGTCTGGTGTTTCCTAGCGAATCATTTTTATCTAATGTTTCCTCTATATCATAATCACCGTTTCTAATTGACAATAGGAAAAGAAGATCATGAATCTCGACATATAGACTGAGTGGTAATATTCTTAGGGAAAGGAGGTAGTATTGGCAACCAGAAAATTTCCGTTTAAAATTGAATTAAATTACTTGCATTATCAGAAAAATATACAACCGAGGCGAAGCTGCAATTCGCAAACACAAGCAAATGTTCTTTTTGACTGTATTATAATTCCTTCGGTTAATTATGAGCCAGTTTCTGAAGTCGACGTTATGTATTTTTAAAATAGCTATTCTTACGATGAAAAAGTTCATACAGTTTAATCTAGCAGACATCTAGATGCTTAATAATCAACGGACCATTCAAACTTAAAGACAGAAATTTTAGATTAATCTCAGTTTGAAAGCAATCATTATTTCCAAACAAACTCTCAAGAAAAACATTCCTCGCCGTATTATTAAGTTGTGCTTGACTTTAATTTATATTATTAAAAAACTGACTACGACGAATATCTTAAGCTCAAAGTAAGACAAAGGAAACAATCAATCAAAATTAGAGCCTAATTCTCATCCATAAATAGACCAGACAAATATATATTAACAGACAACATTTGGACAAAAATCATTGAAGTCTAAATCAAATGAAACTGAATATGTGAAAAAAGGAGGGTTATTTCGATCACGATTCCATCTGTTCATCTTGCTCGAATCTTCTTTTCGGCACAGTTGATTGACCTTCGCTCTGGGGTTTTTGGCTCTCAAGTAGGGTTAAACCAGGGACACCTTGGCCCGATTGCAACATGACCTTTAACCTTTCGACCTCTTCCAAACTTGTAGCTTTGGTTATTTTTTCCTTTATTGCTTGCAGTTCCGCTGGACTAGGACCTAATGGTTGCCCAGGGACGAACTCTTTCGAAGCGACACTTGCCGTTTCTTTCTGCTGCTTGACCTGTTCGGTTAACGCTTTTCCTTCTTCTGTTGCAAACATTTTCTTTGCCATTTCTTTCTCGTTTTCTCTGATTCGCTTGAAATCCAAAAATCGCAGGTGGGGAAGTTTGAATATGCAGTATAGTCTGTAATGCTTCTTGTAAACCACAGGATTTCGTAGCAAAGATAGCCTTTGCAGAGTTTTGATGGAAAACAGAGGATCTAGATCAGCTAATTCTTGAATGTTGTTGTTTGTGAGAATAAGATCTTCCAGGGCTGGCAATGCATTTTCTAAACAAAAAAGAACAATTTATTTAAAATTCGCAACAGTAGATTGAGCGACACTTATTCACTCGCACTTATCCACTCGCGCCAAATGTGAGCGTAGCTGTGCAAGCGGTCGCTACTTGCCAATGCAATGCATTTTTTTCTCTATTAAAGGTCTGTTTATAACTGTCGCCTCTTACCAACTGTCTTCTAAAAAGTTCGAAAAAGAGAAAAGATTAAAATCTTTTAAAAAATGAGATCCAAAATCAAAATGATATCTTTCAATAAAGAAGCTTCTAAAATTCGCGAAAAAAGTCATATCTATCAATTCATTATTTAATTTCTTTCAGTCCGTAGACTTACCAAGATTCATTCCAATTTTGACGATTTTGTTGTTATTTAGAATTAAACATTTTAATCTTTTCAGGTATGGAAATCCGTCTAATTTTCGGATTTCATTGTCAGACATCTCAAAGGTGTCGTAAAGATCATTGGATGCTCCCAAATTCTCAATAAGAGGAATTTTGTAGCCTCGCAAATTGAGTTCTCTCTCCTTGCACGGATTGATACATTCGGTTGCTGATTCGACTAAATCAACAGAGAGACGCACCATATTTAGGTTCTAAAATAGAATAGATTTTTGACAAAAAGTAAATTTGAAACTGTGACATTCGAACAGAATGAACAAAAGTGCAATTTCAAATTAGTGGCCGCTGACCTTGAGAATTGGCAGTTCTAGTAGATTAGCGACGTCATTTGAACGTGTGACATTCGACCAGAATGTGCCAAAATGCAGATTCGGCGATTTCGAATTTTTAGCAGCGAACCTTCCGAATTGGCGATTTAGAAGGAATAAGAACGTTATTCGAACGATTGGACGAAACGTGAAGGCTGAAGGATTCGGAAATTCCTAAATTTTAAATTTTCGAAGTGATGACGTAACAATTCTTAGAAACGTCAAAAACGGCCATTTTGGCAGAAAAACTGAAAAGCAACTCAACAACGATAGTTGCGCTGATGAAAACAACGAAGATTGTGATAAAAAAAACCACAGAGAGAAACAGAAGTAACAGAGACCGCTCCAAGTTGCAACTATTGTGTCGCTACAATAGTTGCAAGGCAGTAGCTAACAACAGTGAGGGGTGGAAACCAGCCCTCCGGGTTATAGAGAAATCAAGCTTAACGTGCTTGATTCAGTGGATTCGAGAATCAGGAGGGGTTTCGGGACTGAAACTTTTAGCGTTTTATTTGAACTTTTAGCTTCCCTATTATGTCCTGAATTGAATTTAATTAACATCCGAATTCATTCAACTAATATGAGAAGCTATGTAACATTCGTCTACTGCAGTCACACATGAGGCTTAAGAAAAATAGGCCCTATAACCACTGGCTCAAGGGTCAGGGACACCATCTCTTGTGTTTTTCTAGCTCAAGAACGGTCGGAGCCAGTTCGGTTCGTTTGTGACATGAGACTACGACCCGTTACAGCTTAAAGGCTACTACTAAAATATCCCCCCACTCTAGAATTAGAAACGTCCCCATACTTAGGTCTCTAGATACCCAAAATACATGAACGCCGTTAAAAACCGGGTTGGAACAATCCGTTAAGTTACTTTTTATTAAACAGTGGAACTTTGATCCATTTCAGATGGATCAACCTATAACTCGCCTTACCTCAACATAACAATTATAAAACACACTCTAGGAATTTAAATTAGTACTCACATTGTAGCACGCTCAAGAAAGGAAAGTACTTCAGTCGGTAATTAACTCAAGAATTAACTAAGATAACTAGATGAGTTCAATGTTTATCAGTTTTAATGGCAGAGATAAGTTTGAACTCTAGAATGTTGTTTCTCGTGAACCATTGGGACACTCAAGCTGTCCACCTTTCCACCGAAGGTTCACTCTAGTCCAGTTCAAATAATAATCCAATCGAGTAATGACAATCCAGTTCTCGGGAATACGCTTGTCTCTGTTTCAGATGGGACAGCTCTACTCTTGTTCTATTGTGACAGAAATTGCGAATAGCAATTTCCCACCGTTTTATTTAGCAACTTTCCCGCGATTGTTACTCGATTGTTCTGACTTCTCTTTTCTGATTTTCAGTTATCGCGAGAAAATCGTGCATGACAGGTTCCATTCGAAATTTTGAAAAATTAAATTTCACTCCAAAATCAAGTGTTTTTTGCTTCTCTCAAGGTCAAACTTCCGAATATGACCGACTGGCACATACTCCCCGGACTCGAGATCGATGTCCTCATCGCGTGCTGTCTTCTGCCAGTGAGTCCCAGAAAACCGAGTGTTACTCAAGATACAGTGCCAGTGGTCATTTACAGAAGTTTGCAGCAGACTTAAGCTTATCTACACCCCAAAATTCACAGCCATGTAAAATTTTCACACTATCGCTAAACAGCAATCAAAATCTGCACACACCTGCACCCTTGAATTCTTGCTCAAGCCAATCATTTAAAATTTCTTTTGTCCTATTCAATCAGGAAATTGTCATGCAGCATTTTGATTTACATAATAAATATAGTATATTAATAACAATATTTGCTTTGTTAAAACTTCTTTTTCGTGAATCCAAGTTTCACCCGGATCCACGCTCAAGCCCCCCTTTCCCTCTCAAGACTCAAGATCCATTCGAGCCACCTGCTCATCTCGCACTCTTCGCCTTGGAGGTACTGCACCCTGAAGTACTAGATACGGCAAACTGTCTCAATAGTTCCTCTTCATCATCGGAGCTAATCACAATCTCCTCCCAAGCCTTCAGCTGCTCGTAGGATCGCATCCATTCTCTTTGCTCTTGCAACCTCTTTGCTTGGTTGGGTAGTGCCTTCACCCTAAATTCCCGGTTCAAACAAAAGGAGTTGTGCCGGCTCAAGCTCACGTTCTTCGCCAGGTCCTCCTCTAGTATCGATTCCCTCGCCTTGGTATTGTCTCTAGACATTTTACCCACTCTCTTCCATCCTGTCGTGATTGCATTACGATGGGTTAACAGGGGTCTCTTGAAAGCTTCCGGCCCAATCTCGGCCTGGAACTGTCGATACTCCTTTCGATGTTTTCTCATGTGATCTTTCGTTGTCATGTACAACCAGGACGTCAGCGTCGCCCGAAACCATGGAAAGTACCTCAAACGGCTCCAGACATGTCTGACTTCCGTTGGTATGGCGAATACCTTGCACGCAGTCTCAAACAACTCGAGTCTCCTACTGTAGTCTATCGCGTGTATTGACTCTGCCGTTGGCTTCCCCGCTTCCCGATACTTCGTTATATTCTCTTCTATCCATCTCAGAGCCAAGATCGTACTCACTACCAAGATCGTCACCTTCTGTCGGTGATCCGGTAGTCCGATCGACCGGATTTCTTCCATATCCCACACCAGGCAAAGGTTCTTGTGATCTGGATACCACACCGTTTGCGCTAAACAGTGGCATGGGCATTCTCCATGGGTGATTTCAATGCTCCTGAGGTTACGCTCCCCCGAGGCTTCCAAGAGAGGCTCAAGCTCCATCATTTTCTCATGCATCGTGTCGTTATCTTCCAGGTTTGGAGCACTTCCCACAGGTTTTCCGATCACGTTTTGTCTCTCGTGATCGCTTGTGTTCTCTCTCTCCAACTTCAAAAGTTCTTCTCCCCAGATTTCACTCAAGTCATCTCTCAATTCTTTTGGTACTGCCCCCCTGATTTTTCTCAACAACTTGTGCGAGTGATGCGATATCCGAGCCAACCTCACGCACTTGGGCACTGAGAAGGCCTTGTCCACCAGTACTCTCTGGCTGGATGCTTCCACCATCACCATGTGCAGTGGGTAGTGACTTCCGCACAAGTTGGCCATCATTGACCCTATCAGCGATTTCGCGTTCAATGGCAAGCCATAAGCTTCGCTCATGGGAAATCCCATTTCCGCCTCGAGACCAACCTTCCAGCTCCGGATGTGTTTTTGAGTCACCTGCAACACCCCGGGCCATGATTCTACGCTCAACGCCGTCACTAAATGATGTTCAGATTCTAGTCTTTCCAGTGACTGCAGACTACACATTCTCGAGAAGAATCCGAGAGTTGTCGCTATATTCACCGTGGTTCTTGCGTAACACTCCGCTACTATTTGCACTTCACTTTTCTCCCTTTCTGTTATGTCTTCGAACCAAGTGACCAGGTCTTCTTTTTGAAATGACAGTATTCTAACGCATGACCGTCCATCGCAGGTGTGCTCTCCGTTTCCACACGACGAATCCAGACAGCTACCCGGCTCCAATTTCTTTGCTGACCCGGGATTACTAGTCTTTTCGCCTGGCTCTCGCATCTGAGGTGAAATTAGCTTATGCAGCACACTCAACTTTGCCAGATCTTCATCTTCCGTTGGTGCTAACCTCACTCGCTCGGTGGTTTCCTCGATCAGATTCGCGTGGGGACGTGGACACCAGGAGGGTCTTAATAGTTTCCATACCACTCCCAAGTTCGTGGTTAACAAGCCATTTCCATCGCCCATGTTCACTTCAACTCTCTTGTCTGAACGTGGTATGCTCACCACCTCTGGTGTTTTCTCAAGAATCAGGCCCAGGCTCGGCCCCTCTTTTTCCACCGCGTCTATTTCCATTATTCTTTCTGTCCAAAACTTCAGTAGCTCCGCTACCTCATGGTTCCTGTGGGCGCCTCCAGCTTCCGAGTCTAAGAAGGGGTTGTAGGCCATTCCCATCACTCCAGACACATATTGGTATTCCCCCTTCTCGCTGATTCTCGAGTAATGCTCTGACGAGGCCAGGTTACGGTGAACATCATGTTCTTCTTCGAACTTCTTATTATAAAACCTCCGTACCTCGTCTAGCTTCCTATGGTTCTCTAGGGATAGTCTGGAACCCTCTTCCTTTTCTATTCCTGTGCTCTGATACACGTTCAAGATGACCGTTGAGACTCTTTTTTCCATGGTTTTGCTTGCGCTTGCTCTCTGTTGGCATGCCAGGATGGTGCTATCAGACATCATCGACATTATCCATCTCAAGAAACACGTGGCATCCTTTCTTCTGGCCAGGCTCAAGCCTGAGTTGTCCCTGGCTACGTGTTGCATCAGTGCCTGATACATCTCTAGCTTCTTGCTTCCCAACTTCAGCCTGTCATACGAGGTCAGTGTTTCCAACTCTATCCCCACCAGACTCCAGGTGAACATTAATTGTCCTGCAGTTCTAACGAAGGGATTCGCCATTAATGGTGGTGCTGATGAGGGTGTCCTCATTGCTTCTTCAAAATGATCCTTCAACAAACTCTGCCAGGACCTCTTCAGATGATTTGCCATTTCTATTCTATTAACATCGGCCTTTTGCTGGGTGGCCCAATTACGTCGCTTGCGAGCTACTCCACTGTCCAACTTCTTCCAGCAGTCCTCCATTTCTTTCAATGTTTCAAGGGCCACCCACCACGTCCGGGAGGTGTTCCTCGTCTTGTTCCTTTCCAATGGATCACTTGTCACTCGCTTGCCCGTGGCCTGGTGTGCCTTCGAGATCCATTCTTTGCCGACATCTACTTCCCATGTCTGTCCGTTCGTTGAACCTCTCTTCACGTTTATCTTCTGAGGCTTGAAGTCTTCCTCCGATGTCGAACTGGTGGAAACCTCTATTTCCCTCT